TTTTTTTTTTTTTTTTTAAACTTTTCCAAAAATTTCTTTATACCTAGTAACTGTCCCTCTTTCCCACTTAGTAACTATCACATCTAATAACAATAAGAATAATTTTTTTTTGGTCAGACCGTCCAAAATTGCTATTAGTTTTCCTCAACCATCATACTATCCAAAAATTTAAATATAAAATTGCAAATGCGTTTGCACACACCGCTTGTACATATATATGTGGGAAGGATTCTCATGGGTTGTTTTTTACGGAAATTTTTTCTGAAGCATTTTTTTTAATGCACTTTATAGTGAGAAATTTCACCTGTGTTTTTTGTAGGGTGACGTGGGAAACAACAACATTGATAGTGACGGTGTTATGACACGTACCTTCTTAATAAGAACAAAAATTGAGGAGGATCGGAAAAAGCTTGCAGCAGCAATTCAGGAATATGCCCCTCCTGCTTGAAAATACACATGGAAGTGATTTTCCATCACATTATAGAACCCCTTGAGCTTCAACAAAATTGCAAATGCAAAATTTTTGTGTAGGGTGGTCTTGTTGAAGCTGATGAATCCTCCTTTTCTTTCGGAGGGAGGGAGAGCTCCAAAAATCTACCAAGCGGAGCCAATATTCAGAAGTTGACAATATTTTCATATGTACAAGAGGCTAATGCACCTGTATCATGTAGAGAAGAAAGGATGTTCTCCTCCAAAGTGGGTATTTTACATTCTTTTTTTTTTTCTTCTAATTATCATGCAAGGATTAGCAAAGAACTTGGCTTGAGTAGCTCCTATTAAAATGCCTTTACATGTTGGTCATCTCTTCTGAAATGCCCCAAGGAATGTCAAATAATGCAGCTGGCCTGGTGGTTGCAGATGCACAAAGCTCATCTGAGATGCATGAATCAGATTCGCCTGCTGCAGCTGCTGGTCTGCTGCTGCCGCCCTTGTGGTTGATGCTTGCTGGGCGGCTGCTGCTGCTGCTGCTGCAATGTTGCTGTGAAGCGGCTGCTACTAGATGTTGGTTTGCTGGATAAGTTTGTGGATACTTTTCGTGTCGTTTTGCCTGTCTTTGTTAGTTTCATGTTTTCATTGTGTTATCTGTTGTTTGTAATGTGGGTTCACAATTTGGATGTATTTGGGTATTTTAGTGAGTTTACCCTTTTAGGTTTTATACACTACTTCTAAAAGCAGTATCAGCGGTGTTTTTTTTTTGCTTGCACATCAACTTTAGGTAATTTTATATCAATGTTATTAGTTTGTAATAGTGGTGCCTGAGGAATGTCTCTTGTAAATCTATAAATCTTATAAAAATATATAAATTATTTTCAATTATTTTTGTTGGTAAATGAGTCGCCAAAAGTTTATTTGTGCCCACTCATATTGTGTTGTTAGAAGTGTATTTTTAGCCAATGCTAATTTGTCGTTGTCTAAAGTAAACCTTTATCGACAAATAAATCGTCGGCAAATAGCAATATTTACCGATGTAAATGTATTGCTAAAAGTTTATTTTTGCCCACTCATATTGTGTTGCTGAAAGTGTATTTTTTGCCAATGCTAATTTGTCGTTGCCAAAAGTGAAGCTTTATCGACAAACAAATCGTAGGCAAATGGCAACATTTACCAACGTAAATGTGTTGCCAAAAGTTTACTTTTGCCGACGTATATTTTGTTGTTAAAAGTATATTTTTTGCCCATGCTAATTTGTGTCGCGAAAAGTGTCACACAATCACCATATTTGAATGACTTTTACCGACGCAAGGTAAATTGTCGACGATGGATGAAGGCTTTTAACAACGACTATTTTCGTTGCTAAAGGCATTACTTTTACCAACGCGATGATAATTTCGTTGGCAAAAGCTTTTGCCGACTCACTTTTGCCTACGGGTTGCCAACGTAGCTTTGTGTGTTGGCAAAACTCTTTGCCGACGAATTTTCCCTTTTAGCAACATATTTTCTTGCGTTGCAAAAAATGCAATTTCTTGTAGTGTGGTTTTTGTATGATCCTCAATTTTGTATGGAATTACTATTTTAGATTGGATTATACTTAGTTTGTATGGAATTTCTATTACATTTGGAATTTGATGTTAAATATGAATTTTTAAGATAGTTCAAAGTGAAATGCATGCAAGTTGTGGAATGGTTGATAATATAATTGGCATATATATTGTTTTGTTTATGTACAGGGTACAAATTGCACTAATAATGGAATAAATATAGGTCGTAGAGAAATTAATTAAAAAAACAATAAATAAAGTTTTTGGCGGCTAAATAGTAGCCAAAAAAGCAAGCAAAGGTTTTTTGTGACTAAATATTTAGAAGAGCATAAAACAAAGAGACTTTTGCCGACCAAATAGTTAGTCGCCAAAACAAATCAAGATGAGGAAAAATCCTTCGATGACTCAAATGTTTAATCATAAACTATAATGCAACTAAAATATTTATTTTTTGGCGACTAAAATGTTTAGTCGTAAACAACAATGGTAAAACATTGGTGGCTAAATGTGACATAAAACGGCGACTAAAATATTTAATTACTAAATGTAGTACTATTTGCAACAAAAACTTGTTGGCGACTAAAACATTTAATTGCCAATAACTGAATTCATTTTTATGTGGAAACTTTCGGCGACTAAAATGTTACCTTTGGCAACTAATAAATTTTTAGTAGCCAAAAGCTGTAAATTAACGACCAAAAAAATTTTAGTCGCCAATACTATCGCCGACAAGGTATCCCCAACTGAGTAATTTTTAGTAGCCTTTGACTTTCGGCGACTAAAAATGAGGCTTTGGTGACTAATTTTTTAGTAGCTAAAGGTGTATTTTCTTGTAGCAAAATTTCGCTGAGTCAAATTTTCTCTGTGAAAATGTTGAGGGATCTTAACTACTATGAAAATATTATATGTTATTTATCTTATAAAATCTTAATATTAGGTAGGGCTACAAACGAACCGAGCTGAGTCGAGCCGAGCTTTGCTAAGCTCAAGCTCGGCTCATTTACTTATCGAGCTCGTTTATAGAGCTCGATTTCAGCTTGATAAGGAATTAGGCTCGAGCTCGAGCTCGGCTCAGCTCAGCTCGATTAATTTTTTTAATATTATTTGCATTATTTAAATAAAAATAAACGAGCTGAGCTTGACGAGCCGAGTTTATGCAAGTTTGAGTTCGACTCGTTTACTAAACGAACCTAATATTCGAGTGTGAACTCAACTCGTTTACAAAACGAACCGAACCGAACCGAACCAAGCTGAGCCCTTAACGAGCCAAGCTGAGCTTGTTTATGAACAGTTTGGTTCATTTAACTAAAAGAATTGTTTTTGAAAACTCAAAATCAAACAGAGTGATTGTCATTTTCTCTAAAATGACATGAACAAAATATCTATATTTTTTTTATTATTTTCTACATACAAAGGTTTAGGGACAAAAATGTCCTTTTCATCCCAACATTAACTTCGTCAAAATAAATGGGTGATTCTATTTACATATCACTAATACTTTCAGTACATACCATTACTTAGTAAACATACAAAATAATTTTTAGGATTTAAAAATATCTTAGTTCACACTTTAACTTTCCATTACTAACCCTATATTAACACACCACTAACTATTTGAATACACACTGTTATACACACTAAAAACTCTTCATCTTTACCACTACACACAACAAAAAACCCCACAATCTTTAGAACAAATACCAATAGAGACCATCTTCGTCGATCTTGATCTCTATCGCCGACAAAGGTTTCATTCGGCATCCATCTTCGTCGATGTTGATCTCCATGGTTAGTGTTGAACTTTTATCATGTATCATCTCGTTGTTTCAGATTGCCGACGAAGTGTTTCATTCAGCCTCTATCTTCGCCGGTGTTGATCTTCATTGTCAGTCTTGAACTTGTCTCTCATCATCATTTCAAATTTATCAAATTAGTTATGTTCATAAACAGAGTTGAACAAACCTTAATGTATTTAAAAATTTATATTTAAACAATGAATAAAAATTTAATTTATTTTAACTGAATTAACTTAAAATGTTTAATTTTTTATATATAAACATTTAATATTTGGTCAATATTAATAATTTGAACAAAATTATTTTATTCAAATATAAATAATCGAACAAAATGTAAAAATTCAACTCTGGTTATCCGAACATGACAAACAAACTCATCTTCCCAATGTACGAACGAGATAAATAAAAAAGTAAAAAATTAAGTCATAAACTAACATTTAAATCAACGTTTTCAATGTTTATATTGGAACCAACCATCTCAGTGTCATTCATGGTGTGTAAATCTTCAAAACTAATTGATTAAATCTTCAAAAGCAATAATGTTTGGAGTTTGAAAAATAAGTATAATGGAGAAGAGAATAAAGTGAGCTAATTGATAACAAATGATATCATGAGTGTATGTTAATGGTGAAGATGATGAAAAAAATACAATACTTATATGTTAAAACCCTAAACCCTATACAAATGATGTGTGAAGAATATTTTATGTTTTTAAAATATGAATTTTTTGAATGGATAAAATACACCTCATATTGTCCTTAATGGTCATTTCATTAGAGGATGTTATTCAAATATAAATTTAATCTATTAACGGTGCGTACTGAGAGTATTAGTGATGTGTAAATAAAAGCACGCAAATAAAAACACTGACATGGGGGTCAATGTAATTTCCCAACCGTAAAGGGGGAATCTATATTAAATCCAAATATCAAGAGGTTTTAGTGTAATTTACCCTAAAATATAAATACAACAATCTTAGTAAAAAAAAAATTAATGGAGGGTCTAAATCCCACCATGTTGGTGTGTATAGAATTGCTAAATGTTTTACACTAAATTTAAATTTTCATAAAAGATATTCAAAATTTTATTCTCAAAAATAATATGTGACTCAGATAATTTTAAGCATAGATTGGGCCATATAATAATTGAATCAAAATCACATATTATTTTTAAAAGGATTTTTATTGATAAGTCCAATTTAGAAGTGTTTTAACCCAAGAAGTCCATGAAGGAATTTTTTAACCCATTTAGTCCCATGTATGTATAGTTTTAATCCATAAAGTCCATTTTCTTGATTTACACTATTTTCTTGGACACTTATGCCCTTATATTCAATTTTGATACCTTTATAAATATTTTTTGTACGATTAGCAATTTAATGATGTAAATATTCATATTTTAAAATTCACATTGGTAGGAATGTAAAATTGGCCCGTGGGCGGCCTGAAATCCGCCCGCGAGCCGGGACGGGCCTGGCCCGTTGACAATGTGAATATTCACATTGACATATTAACATTCACATTAATAGGAGTGTAAAATTGACCCGCGTCTCGTGGTAGCGCGAAACCCACTCGCGGCACATGGGCGGCCCGGGTGGGCCCGATCCGGCCCATTGACAATGTGAATATTCACATTGACATGTTAACATTCACATTGATAAGAGTATAAAATTGGCCCGCGGCCCATGGGCGGCCAAAAGCCCGCCCGCGGCTCGGGGAGGGTCCGGCCCGGCCCGTTGACAATGTGAATATTCACATTGACATGTTAACATTCATATTGATAGGAGTGTAAAATTAGCTCACGCCTCGTGGCTGCCCGAAACCTGCCCACGGCCCGTGGGCGGCCTGGGGCGGGCCCGGCCTGGCCTGTTGACAATGTGAATATTCACATTGACATGTTAACATTCACATTGATAAGAGTATAAAATTGGCCTGCGGCCCATGGGCGGCCAAAAGCCCGCCCGAGGCCCGGGACAGGCCCAGCTCGGCCCGGCCCGGCCCGTTGACAATGTGAATATTCACATTGACATGTTAACATTCACATTGATAAGAGTGTAAAATTGGCTCGCAGCCTGTGGACGGCCTGAAGCTCGACCGAAGCCCGAGGCGGGCTTGGCCCGACCCGTGACAATGTGAATATTCACATTGACATGTTAATATTCATATTGATAGGAGTGTAAAATGTCCGCGGCCCATGGGCGGCCCAAGACGGGCCCAGTTCGGCCCGTTGACAATGTGAATATTCACATTGACATGTTAACATTCACATTAATAGGAGTGTAAAATTGGCCCCCGTCCCGTAGCGGCCCGAAACCCGTCCGCGGCCCATGGGCGGCCCAAGACGGGCCCAGTTCGGCCCGTTGGCAATGTGAATATTCACATTGACATGTTAACATTCACATTGATAGGAGTGTAAAATTAGCCCGCAGCCCGTGGGCGGCCCGAAGCCAGATCGCAGCCCGAGGCGGGCTTGGCTCGACCTGTGACAATGTGAATATTTACATTGACATGTTAACATTAACATTGATAGGAGTGTAAAATTT